GACATCCAGCTGGCGCGGCGCATCCGCGCGGAGAGAGCCTAGGTCCGCGTAGATCCTGACACGGGCGGCCTATCGGAAAAAACACGACACCCAAAGGCTCTTTTAAGAGCCGCCAGCATCGTCTCGGCAAGAGCTGAAGGTCTTCTGTATTCAAGCGTAAATGCTTTGATAACTCCTTATGTAGTCTGCTATGTATACGTACTGTTACAATTTCCGTCGGTACTAAATAGTATAGACAGTTTGGTGCAATGGTCAAGGCATCAGGGGACCCTGAGTTCTAGTCCCGGTTTAGGCGCGAAGCCAGCTGGAAGACCTTTGGCCAGTTGCACGCTCTCCGTCTTGCGAAGCAGGCAAGGGCAAACCGCTCACGAAAATGCGGGACTTGTCTAGAAAGTCGCCAGGAGTCAACATTGGCTTGAAGGCACGTGGACAAACCACAGTACTGGCTACAATATTGCTGAAACAGCTCTACTAGGGTTGAGTTTGTCTACTTGAAGCCACTCATATTTTAGATTTAGTTATGTCTGGCTAAGCTACTTTAATTAGGCAGCTACTGTATTTTGAATTTAAAACAGGATAAGCCTGCTTTTTCTTTAATTCTCCCCTTACATTCTGAGGAATCTTCCTGACAAGAATGTTAAAAACTAAAAAATGCCCCATTTTTTTTGTTCATGATAGGCAAAGAGCTTCATTCCCTGCTTCCCTGAATCATCTTTTTCTAGGTTGTGGCAAAAGGTATCTTTTTTGTGGCAACAATGGGAAAATACCTTGCTGGATTATAGGGTGTTTGACTGCAATAAGATGCACTGAGAACGAATCATTCTTTACTTCTGGTTTCTTGAGTTGTTAGATTATCTATTCCTAATGGACACTATGGTTTGGGACAGTTTAAAATAGATGTAGTTTTGTGTTACTCCTACTGCCAAAGGTATGTGTGTGTCCCTCCCAATGTTGTGTTTCTGCAACAAAACACAAAACAAAGGGAATACTCTTTTCTGGAGTATGTCTAAGCTGACAATGCAAATCTGAAATCACATTTGACAAAGGTAGCTCAAAGCTGCTGACAATGGTCTATATGTGAATTTGTATGAAGATTTAAGTAGGGTTGCACAGCTTATTGTTAGATCCCTTGCAACTGTATCATGGTGTTTCTAAATTTCTAATTTCTAAAATGAAATACTGGGCTTTTGAGAAGGGCAAAGCTTCCCACATGTCTCTGTAATGAAGTGAATACTGGTCAATGTTCTGATTATCCTATGATATGGAAGAGAGCAGGTAGCAGCACCTGGTGTCCGTGGGCATTTAGTAAGATCCTGCTTCTTGATAGAGGTCATTTGGATGCTGTACCTCTCCTGTAGCAAGTCGCCCACTCACCACAGCTCTAATGCAGAAGTTAATAATTGTGAAGCTACTTCTGGCATACACACCAGTTCACCTGGTGTTTATTCATGTTCCAGGACTCTGCTTGGCATTAAAAAGAAGTTGATGTGCAATATAAATTAAGTCTGCTTACCACACTTTCAATGCTTTGTGTTCTGTTAACATTTATTTTAAACTAGGCAGGTGTTTCCCAGTTCAGTTTTGATAATCTTCCCTATATTATCACTAGGAATTTGTGAAGAGTTCTGGGCATAGAACAGCTGGTTTCAGATGGCCTGTGTGTTTTAGACAGAACTGGTTTGTTTTGTTCTGGATATGAACCAAAACATGGTGGTCCTGGGCAGAAGTAGTGTGGGTGGGTGTAAGAGTGGAAATGAGCCAGGTCCTGGGGATGGCTTGTGTGACTTTGGTATCATTTGAGGGAAGAAAAGGCCCTGGGGAGGTTGAGGTTGGGGGACATGCTTTGTCAGGAAGCTAGTGGAGGTGGGAGCGAAAAGCCATGCGGGGAAAATTGGAGAGGGAGCAATGTGCACTATGGTTGTTCTAGCCACCCTTTAAAATTACTCTGAGATCTCTTTGGGTTTGATTTTTGCCCAAAATTGGAATAACCAAAGTGATCCAGGTTTTGTTTCTGCCAAACCTTAGCTGGTTCAGTGGTTTACCCAAACTTCTGGAACATGGAAGTTTAGTATGAGCCTGAAAGAAAACATATTTTCTGTTCTGTGCACACCTATAATGATCCCGTTCCCAGCCCTTTGCCCACTTGTATCCTACTCCTATATAAATATGATCAAGCATCATTTTTTTCCCACTCTGTTGCCAAGGTTGCTGTCATCTCATCCCAGCTTGTAAGTCCTCCTTAGCTGTAGTGGTGTTAAAACAGTGTTTTTCCTCTAAAGCTGATGGTATGAAAACCTGTTATGCTTTAGCATCCATTACATCAGAGGTGAAGTCAGGTGACTAACTGTGAGTGAGATTGGAGCCAGGCTTAATGGCTGTTCCAAGCTGAGTTGGGGGTGCCACTTTGCTGTTGCCTCCTTAAAAAGACATGGAAGAATCTGGAAGTCAGTAATTGTTGCCTCTGGAAAGAAGAGGACAGCAGTC